AAAAACACAATATTAAAAAAAAAAAAAAAAAAACTGAGCTAGAACATACCTGCATTTCCAGAAGGATGATCTGGTTCCAAAAAAGAACTTTCAGATAAAAAGTTTAAAATTCTCAATAAATAAATTATGAAAAGAAATTATTTGTAATAGCATTGATAAAATGGTAAGTAAGTAAAGACTAGGAAGAGACAAAAAACAACAAAAAGTAGAAGAAAACCCAAGGAGGTAGAAAGAGTACACTTTCACCATATAAAGGGATTTTTACTATTTTCAAGAATGGGAGCTTCAATTTCATGGTATTGCACAGCCCTGGGATTTGGGAGTAGAGACAGAAATAAACCTGGGTCTTTCTCAGAGGACAAACCTAATAGCACACATGACTCTCTCCTACCCCCCACCAATATCAACAATAAATGAAAACTAATCAACTACTCCATTCTTCATCAGTGATATTAAAAACCAAACAATAATTGTTAAGGTTAATATACATTAAGTGATCACTATCACCTTATATATTTTAATCCTATATTTTAAGAAAACTAAGAAATTATGATTTTAAAAGGTATGTTCTTTGAGAGATTGAAACAAGTAAGTTTAGAGTTTCATACTGACAAATTCTTTTTCTTAACTCATATAACCTGTATCATATTTTTATTAATTTTATATGTATCATATTTTATAAACATTTTACCTTGAATGTTAATTTAATAAGAAATCCAACTTATTTTACTTTAACTTTATTATAGATGTGTATTTATTATATAAAAATATACTAGATGTATACATTTACACCGTTTTGTTGTTAGCTGCCATCTAGTTAAATGTGATTCATAGTGATACTATGAAGAGTGGATTTGAACGTTGCCCTATTCCATACCACTTTCACAATATCTGTCATGTTTAAGCCCACTGTGTTAGTTCACTGGATCAACCCATTTTGTTGAGGGTTTTGCTCTCTTTTCCAAATGATGACCCCTATACCTATCCCAATTTGATATCTTTTTCCAAGGACTAGCTCTTCTTGAAAACATGCTCAAGGTATGTACTTTGGTTGCATATCCCAGACGAATTAGGTTATTCTTTTAGCATTCCAAGAAAATGCAATACTTTTCTCCAGCACCACAATTCAAAGGCATTCATTCTTCTTTGGTCTTCCTTATCCAACGTTAACTTTCTGAAGCATAGGAAGCAACTGAAGGTACCATGGCTTGTATCATGTACACCTTAGTCCCAAAACTGACACTCTTGCTCTTTATCACTTTAAGGAAGTCCTTGACGGCATATTTCAACACATCTTTTGATTTCTTAACTGCTGCTTACATGAGTGTTGATTGTGGATCCATCCTCAACAATTTCAAGCTTTTCTCCAAATAGCTTAACATAGCCTATCATCCAGGGATGAGGATTTTTGTTTTACCTATGTCAATATGTAACCCATATTGAAGGCTGTAGTCTTTGTTCTTCTGCAGCAAACATTTTAAGTCTTCCTCACTTTCAGCAAGCAAGATTGTATCATATGCATAATGCAGGTTGATGACAAGTCTTCCTCCCATCTTGATTTCCTGAAACACCTCAACTGGTATTTCCTCAATTCCCGGAGCTTTCTTTTTTGCCAATGCCTTCCAGACAGCTTGGACTTCTTCCTTCAGGACTTTTGGTTCTTGATCACACGCCACTATCTGAAATAGTTCAGTGTCAGCCAATTCTTTTTGGTACAGTAGCTCTCTGTATTCTTTCCATCATCTTTTGATGCTTCGTGCATCATTCAAGATTTTACTGTGGAAGACATGCTAAGTGAAATATCTCAAAATATCACAAAAAGGACAAACACTGCATAACATCAGTGTCATAAAATAGGACTGTCATGGCAGGATGGGAGTGAAATAGGAAAAGAATGGATGAACACTGCAGTGGAATAAATGAGGGAAAGAACTGTTCAAAAGAAATGTATGATTATTGCTGTTGTTATGAGTACAACTCATAGCAAACCTATGAACAAAAGATCTGAACCCTATTCTATCCTGTGCCATCCTCACACTTTCTGACACACAAAGCAGTTGTGTGACCTTTTGAGGGACTTCCTCACCTTCTACAACCCTCCACCCTTCCCAGAATCCTGCCCTTCTCCAAGGAATAGCCCCTCCTGGCAACATGCCTAAAGTATGTGGAGTGAAGTCTCATTCTTGCCTCTAAAGAGCACTCTGGCTGCACCCTCTCTAAGACATATTTATTTGTTCTTTAGACAGTCTATAAGATGCTCAGTGTTCTTCTCCAATACCACAGCTCAAAGGTGTCAATTCTTTTTTCTGCCATCTTTATTCACCATCCAACTCTCAGATAGCAAGTAATCAGAAAGACTATAGCTCACCTTAGTCCTCAAACTGACATCATTACTCCTCAATAATTTAGAGAGGTCTCTAACTACAGATTTTCCCAGTACAATTTCTTTATTTCTTAACTGTTGGTACCAAGGGTGTTAATTGTATATGTTTGTCAACAATGTGGCATAAGAGGTGCATTGCAAACTGATCTAGGGGAGGGGAAAGAGAGGGGAGGATAGAAAATGTGCAACAATGAATGAATATTAAAAAAAAGAATGTCAACTGAGAGAGGGGTTCAAAGGAAATGTGGAAAAATGAATGAATGAATGAATGAATGAATGAATGAAAATCCAACTTTTCTGTAAACTTTCAATAAAATATTGGTAGGTTCCATCAATTACAACCTAAAGCAACTCTTTGAAGGACAGATCTGAACCCTATCCTATCTTGTGCCATCCTCACATCCTCACACTTCCTGACACATTTGGGCCCACTGTGAGAGTCACTGTGTCAATCCACCTGGTCGAGGGTCTTCCTCTCTCTCCTTTGCTGACCCTCAACCTTTCCAAGCATCATGCCCTCTCAAAGGAATATACCTTCTTAGCAAAATTCCTGAAGTATGTGAGGTAAAGCCTCATCATCTTTGCCTCAAAAGGACACTCTGGCTGCACCCTCTCTAAGACATATTTGTTTGTTCTTTTGGCAGTCTGTGGACTTTTCAGTGCTCTTCTCCAATACCACAGCATAACGGCATCAACTCTTCTTCTCCCATCCTTAGTCATTGTCCAGCTCTCAGATGCAAAAGGAGTGATCAGTCCTGAACTGGTACTAATTATGTTAACTGTGGATCTAAGTAAGATGACCTGGTGAGTAGTCCTTTGTAATAAAAGTTGGCTGGGCCCTCAGGCCTATAGCCCTTGGGCATGATGTGAAGACTGATTTGCTATTAAAGTTATAAATTAAGTTATCAGTTTGTTCTGTTTGGAGATAACTTTGTTCTAATTGGTATAGCACTTGTCTGTCAATTTTCTGTACTGGATAACTTGTGGGTTGCTGGGATACTGTTCAATGTACAGTCTCCTAAAACCTGCTGAGGGACCATCTATGAGTTACTTCCCACTTGACAGCAATGAGTGAACCCTCCCAGCACTTCAATCTCCTTTTACCTTTTCATCTCCACAAGTTAATCTAAGAGTTAACATCCATTCAACAGCTTATCAAATAAACAGTTATTCTGTCAGTTCCAACATCCTTATTTTTCTCTGTCCTGTTTTAAACCTAATTGTCTCATTTAGCTATTTCCCAAAATGTATAACCTCATGACTAGGTTGCTTTCACACTTGACTTGCTGATGCCCTACCCAGACCTTCTTTCCTCTTCTTAATTCTGACTTTATTATGCTTTATAATGGCTCCTGGCAAAGAGACAGACAAGGTAACCTTGAAATAGATGGTGCTGTCACAACACCTAATAAAACAGTAAATGAGTCCCAATTGTCTCATGTGAAGTCTGCTCACATTGCCAAATTAACAGCTTTGACAAGAACTCACACCATTTAGTTAAAAACTGTAACAGCTAACAGCTATCATAATTCATATTGTTCACTTGGCTTTGTCTACTACTTTGGCATCCTCTGACAACAGAGGTGGTATGTGACTTCTGGAAATATATCTCTCTCCATTCCTTATCAAAAAATAGGCAAGTGTGGTTGTTAAATTTGCTCCATTTGCTTTTGAAAAGTTTACCACTTTTACTATGTGCCAGTTCTTATTCTACATGCTGGCACATATCTACACAAAACAACTAAATATGCATGCCCTACCCTCATAAAGAATACACTCTAGTCGGAAAGGAAGGTAAGTAATAGCTGTGGTTAAAGG